AGAGGATAATAATGCAAGTACGTAGTAATTTCTGGAGAAAATATGAGAATGAAAAAAACCATATAAAATTAGCGCGGAAAAGTGGAAAACTTATCTATTAATAGATGGAGAGAGAGAGTAAGAGGTACATATTGTTGTATGTGGTTGTACGTATTTTTCAATGATACTTTTTATCCCAACTATTGGATTCAGTTGTGTGTTTTTTAGATCCTTTCGTGGATATTTTCACACGCAGTGAGACAAATGGCATTGGAATGAGCATGAATTTTCATATTGCTATGAAATCTGTATACGAAGTTCGAAAGTAAATCAGGTTGTGTTCAACGAAATGACTTCAATACTGGTGCTGTGTGAACAGAGAAAAAAATGAGATGCAAAAAAAAGTTTTTCAGCATTATCATTAGTTAGCAAATGTAGATAAAGGTCTATTTTTGATTCTTAATGGTTTTGCACCATATCCAAGCGAACAAAATACTTTTTTTCCAAGCGAATAATCGGTATGACTGTGCTTTGCACAAAAAATCATGAGAGAATTGAATAAAGTGCCATCCGTTACTTTCACTTGGTACGGCAATGCATGAACGCCATACAATATTCTATGTAAAACTCAACATTCAACTGAGAATAATCGGTGAAATTTTTGCTACTTGCACGTTTGCTACTCGCATCGGGATATATGTGAAATTGTTGTTAGTGTTGTTGCTGTTGCTGTTTCAATTGCCATTAAATAATAGCAGTTCGTTTTTGTACTTGGGCAGCAAATATATTGAGATGCTGCATCATTGCCGGGAAATAGTGTCGGTGATATGTGGCTTATGTCATTTCGGTTGCAACCGCACACGAACAAAACTCGACATTGCAAAGCAATGCCACCGTTCAACATGGTTTACTCTCTGCCGGGCTGTTGCTTTCAATATATAGTTTGCTTATGGAGTTGATATTGTTTCATCAATGATTGGCAATTACAAAATATGAACATCGTATGGAAACTCCCTCATTCTTCTGCCTGTGATAGAGACTCTGTGTCTGCCGATCAATTTTCAACATTTTGCTTGTTACTGTGCCAATTTGTACTCATTCGCTTTTGTTCGTTTTACTGGTATTTCATATTTAACATTTATATTTAACACTCGTTGACAAAGAAACATTTCCATGTTCATATTCACATTTGAATTTGGTTCCAAACTTATTGGCATATCAATAAAGCATTTAAACCCAGGTTTAAATTTTTAAAAAGGATTATGTTGATGAAAATTGATTGTGTTTACCTATGTCTATTTGGGTTGAGATAAAAAAGTAAGTTAAATTTCCACTTTTCACATTTTCCAAATTAGCAGAACTTTTCAGTACTTTCACATATTCAGACAGTACTTAAAGAGCTTCAATTTACACATTTACTGCCGATTTACTTGAAAGTAATGCTTGTTGTGTCGATGTTTAAATGAGATAAATTAAAAAAATATTTCTCTGGTTATATCCACTTCTGCTTAAAAATTCATGAGAATATACAGAAATGAGGTAGTCTGCTCTACTAAAGCCAGTATTCACAAGATCAATCAAGTATTCTTGCTATGTTTTTGAAAGAACATCTAAAACAAAATCGTAGGACGTGAGCCCGATTTACGACGTCCAAATCAAGTTTTTTTTTTCGATCTCCATACAAATTCTTCGGAAAAACTTCAATTTCAAGGAAAATAATTTTCCTAGGCGAATTTTCTAAGAAGAAAAATGATTTTCTTTGAATTGCGCTCAGAAATCCGAAAAATGGGTTTTAAGTTTATAGCTGATACTTTGTCACAAACAAACAAACCGATAACGATTTGAAAGCTTAATTATGAAAAATCCCAACGCCAAATGGTCTTATGCATTAGAGGCTTAACTAGCTAATCACTTCAAATAGATCGATATCCATATGGTAGCATACTGATAAATGTATAATCAAACGATTACAATCAATCAATACCGACCTACAATAATGCTGTTAAATGTTAAACATAATACTACGCGATTCAATAAAACGCTTTCGATAAAATATAATCATCATTATATGTATTTGAGGTTTTTTTTGGTATAAAACACATATTTTTTCAAATATTTATACGTAAGGCACTATTGTTAATAATTCCATTGCACTAGGCGAATGTGTTTTAAATTTGCACGTGGGGATTAATTACATTTTAAAATTTAAATTACTTCTGCTTTCAAAATATGGTATGTGTACAAAATATAAATAACATTCCACTGAGAATTTGCTGTTTTCGCATCTCATTTTAATTGTGTGGTTGATGTGTGCGTGTGTGGTAAACGTGATGAAAAAAAAAGTACAATAAATTTCCAAAACAAAATAATGATTCTAAATGGTTTCTGGAATATGAATTTTGGATTTATCTTTGTTTGTTTTACTATTTTTGTTGTAACGTTGATTATATATGAGCGGGGAAAAGCTCTTATTTTGTTATATTTCATATTGGAAACGTGAAGAAACATCATCTGTACATTTCAGTACAATTGATGATTTTTCAAAATGTGACATTGATCCACGCTTTTTTATACAGATTTATTGGTGTAACTAGAATAACAAACGGCAAAAAATCGAATCATAACTTCTGAATTTTAAGTTTTAAAAAGGATTTTAATTTGAACAAACTAGTAGGAGAGTAATTTGGAAATTAAGTGTTTACTCCTCTAAAAATACGGGGAAGTGTGATCTAATTATACGAAACACCCGATAGTTCTAAGGAATCTGTAATAGAAATATTGCCCTGAAATTTTGATACACTCTGTATTCTATTTAATTTGGAATGTGTTCATACTAATTTAGTCTCACATGAGGACAAAATCATTGTGATTGGACATATTTCGAATGATATTCTCGTTCAAGTATGTTGTGTGCTGCACAGCTCACAGCTGTTTTGAGAGGAAACAATATATTGGAATGAAAAGCATGCACTGAAAATGGTGAAAATGCCATAAATACACTTATGTGCATGAGCAAAAGCGAATCGAATAAATGTGGATCAGTTGCATATGCATGTGGATTTTTTCACCGTTCACATAAGATGAAGTTATAGTTTTTGAAAATAATACATTTTGAATGGTTCTCAATTGAAAGCCAGATCATAGTGCACAATGTGTATGACACTGGTTCAATTCATTAAATATGTGCAAAACATAATAGTAGAAATCCATAAATTTATGAACGATATATTTATTTCTCCTATGCATACATACGTATTCAAAAATAGTATTCTTCTTCGATGTTTCTTTTCTTAAGCTACTTTTTATTCACACAATTTCCATACAACACAGTCCATTTCTCTATTCCACCTTACTTTCAAAAAATTGATCCCGTTGTATCCAATACCGATCGAAAAGTGACTGAACACCAACGAACCAACTCGTTCAATAAAAATCAGAAATGGCTTTGGTGTGAATCAAAAACCATAATCAACTGATACCCTAACATAAGCAGCCAGATACCATAACATTCGATGTTCAGCCTTTATAGCGCAAAGTACAGTGTATTTAATTCATATTTTGCAAAATCATCGGTTTTTTGTTATTGCTTTGTATATTTCATGCACAAAGATACCAAAATAGCATTTTATGTTATAAATAGAAACGCACATGCATGATTCAACATAATTTTTTTGTGAAACAGCATATTTTTGGTTAACAAGTTTGCTATAGTAAAAGGCTAGGCCAAGGGTTGTATTACCATAAATTATTCGATTCTGGACAAACAGGTGTGAATAAAACATAAATGGCATATCTTACTTTTTGTACTTCAGGGCGAGAATGGATAGATATTGATGAAAATACATTAACTTTCACATAAATTGCAAATTAATGATAGAAAGTCAAACGAAATGATGATGTTTTGAGTAAGGTAAAAAAAACACGTTCAATTTCTCTTGCAAATTTCAAAGCATTTTTAAAGGAAAAAAGTGATTCAAATAAAGGAAATCTGTTAATGGATCTTCTTCATTCATTTTATGAATGAAAAATTTCATTTCTATAGCAAGATTGTTTCTTTCTTGTACAAAGACAACCAAATGTCTTTGATATTTTATATTTATTCTGGGAATCTCTAGCGTTAAATCGCACAGAAAATAGGGTAAATTTCCAATATTTTGTGGGAGAGAATAATCCAAATAGACTTCTAACAAGTTGTTTTGAGGAATGTTTCAATTGATTATTCAACAACACAAAGTGAAGTCAAAAATTGACTGCTTGGCAGTTAACTTTGAATATTTTGTCTTTGAATTGTTGGAAAATTACTTAAATTGTCTGGAAATTGTCTAATTTCCCATATACCCTCTTTGTGCATTTTTTTTTCCTGTGTGCTCGAATGATCAGGTATTTGCCAATTTCTTTACTGAACCCTTATCATAAAGAATTAAAGTTCCATTGAAGCTTTAGATGTTCAACTTGAAATATGTTTATACGAAAATCGACAAAGACGCCTGTGGCGTGTAATTCAAAAGACAGCAAATGAATAGCTTCTTTTCACTTATTCAATAATCTTAATTTCTGAAGTGGTTACTACTAAGTCGTACTAAGCTCTACAGATATAAAGTACGGTTTAAAAGGTATTTGAGTGAGAAGACATTTTCGCCATTTTAATATTTTTGACGTCAATCGGTATTATATTTTAACTAAACAGATGTGTAAATAATTCGTATGCGTATCTAGGGGGTAGACAGTAGACACACATTTTTACTATAGAAAACTAAAAGTATACTAAAATCTACTTGAGAACAAATGTTCATATTGATTCTTCGACCGATCCATACAAAATACATTGCCAATACTTTTCTTATGATGAGATTAACGCTACATTTTTGTAAACAAAATATTTGCGTTCAGTGAGAACAATGGTTTCTTCGCAATGGATATTTGCGTTTTTGTTTATTTACTAAAAGAAACTAGAAGAAACTAAAAACATATTAAATGAAACTAAATATACTAAAAATTGGTGTCTATCCCCTAGCCATCAATTCACTTTTGGTATTGTATTTGCCTTTATTATACAGTTGATAAAATACAAATATTTTCGTCTATTTAGTGCTGGATAAAATTAGTTGTTTTTCATCTGTTGAATGTTAAACCAATATGATGTTGGATTCAAATTATATCGCCCCGCAACAACTCATTCTTACTCCTCCATTTTGTGCTTGAATTTTTACACCCATTACGATTTCCAGCCATTGAATCCGGGCTTTAGTTAACTCATCGACAACCGATGATGCAGCACTCATGTCATTTTTAAATGCTTCCAGTTTTGTTGTCAATTCGGTTATAAAAACACTTACATCCATCAGAAATGAAAAACTCACATCGTTCATATCTGCATCATTTTCGGATTTTTTAATCGCATTTAGTTTATTTTTGCTCGAATCATATTGCTTTGAGCATTCCAATCTTGAAAATGGTGTCTCTGACAATTTTTCACTCAAACTCGTGATGATTTGACTATGTGCATTTCCTATAAAATCAATATTTTCTTTGATCTTTTTTTCTTGTGCCTTTTTTAGTGGTGTTTTATTGAATTTTTCAAATGCTTGTTGGAAGCCATTGATTTCGATAAATTTTGGTTCGACGAACAATCCCTTATAAATATTATTATAGAAATTACGAATATCATGGCGCAACTTTGTTATGTATTCAATATCTCCTTTCATCTTTCTTCGAACCTCATCATCACCACGTCCAATAATATTATACATTATACTCTCCAAATCGGGCAGCCCCGACTTATCATACATTTGAACGAAATAATCAAAATTGGGACTATTAGAAGAACTTTCATACATATCCAAACGACTCAAAACAATATCTGGTTTCCGATATACTTTTGTCTTGAAAACGATGGTTAATCTATCTCTTATGTCATACGATAGCCTGATTGCATCAGTTTTTGATACAAATGCATTAATTAATGAGGTATAGACCGGACTTTTCGAGGTATAATTTTGGCTACAAACCAATTTGAACTGGAAGAAAATAATCCGATTATTAAATTCATTTGTTTTTTTACTTTTCCGCACACATAGTGTAAGGTGAAAAGTATTGTAATCGGTCAAAATTTTGAAAACTTCAGAAACATGTTTTCTGGACGTTTCTGAGGTCAGCGAACCCGAATCAGGCCGTTTTGAGCATGGTTTATGTTAATCTGTACGTCGTACGTCGTACGTCGTACGCAAAATTTGTTAGCAAGATTGCGCTCATCGTAGAAACTTAATTCAAAATCTGACTTTACAGGATGATTGGGGGTCCCGAGGAATAGAAATCATTAGCTTTTGAGCGACTTTGGTTGATGGGAAAAAATGTCATGCCTGGAGTGATACCTATGAAAAAGAGTCCAATTTTCGTCCAAAAGTCATACTTAATGTGGACTTAAACATTCAAAAATATGTATTGGGGGGTTTTTTGGCACGAGAAAACCGAATCCGACGTTAGTTTTGAGATACAATCAATTTTTAATTCAGTTTCCTTGAAAAAATCACAAAAAAAATGAATTTTTGTATGGGAGCCATGCCTGTATGCTACCTTAATGACGTGAAACTTTGCACAGTCTATTTTTTACACAAAAAAATAACATTCTGAAAGTTTGAAGAGATTTCAATCAAAATTAGGGGTACCTCCCATATAAAATTTTCAATTTTTGGCTCAAAAACGAATATTTTGCATGGGAGGTACTCTTAATTTTGGTTAAAATTTCTCCAAACCTTCCGAATGTTATTTTTTTGTGAGTTATGAAAAGTGTTTCAAAAATAATTTCTATGGCAAAATTAACGTCAGACATATTTTTTAATACAGTTTCCTTGTAAAAGTCACAAAAAAATTGAATTTTTGTATGGGAGCCATGCCTGTATGATACTTTAATGACGTGAAACTTTGCACAGACTATTTTTTACACAAAATAATAACATTCTGAAAGTTTGAAGAGATTTCGATCAAAGTTAGGGGTACCTTCCATACAAAATTTTAAATTTTTGGCTCAAAAACGAATATTTTGTATGGGAGGTACCCTTAATTTTGGTTGAAATTTCTCCAAACCCTACGAATGTTATTTTTTTGTGAAAAAATAACCTGTGCAAAGTTTCACACCATTAATATAGCATACAGACATGGCTCCCATACAAAGATCCAAATTTTTTGTGACTTTAGTTATGGAAAGTGTTTCAAAAATAATTTTTATGGCAAAATTAACGTCAGACATATTTTTTATAGTATTTTGTTAGAAAATAGAATACTTTCAAATGTCGTACAAATGGGTTCATCATGAAAGTGTGAAAAATCTTTTCTCGGGTACTTCTGCTATTAAATTAAAAAATATTTCGTTGCCAAAGTTGAAACATATTTTTTGGTCTCGAACTTTACGCCGCTTGAAAGACTTGAAGAATCGAGCAAATATTATTTTGAACTTTCTTAATAAAATACGCAACTACCACAGTGCGGAAAAGTTCGTCTTACTCCCGTAAGACTTTTTTTTTTGTTAAGTAAGGCGGCTTGTTTTAAATAAAATTACCTGATCAAATATAGACAGCGAGAGTGCCAACAACAAAATAAACTTCATGACGTTTGATTCTCTTTGGTTCAAGAAATTATATGCCGTTCATCGATTGAATGAACCTAGTTATATACAAAATCGTGACTCGACAATTTTCAGATTAATATATTCAGTACAGCCAGAAAGAAGTAGATGCGTATGTTCAAATGTTTTTCTTAAAAAATTAAAATGTAAATTTATTCGATGAAATGCGTCATCAATATAAAAGTCGATCATTTTAAATTGATAGACTTGAAGATAATAACAAAATTTTAACTTATTAAATTTCAATTTCTCAAATTCAAACGAACCCATTTTATACACAAAACAAACAAATTGAAAACTTTTCTCAGTTGTAGCTAGCTTTATTCATAGTCAATCCAAAAACACATTTAGAGTACACTGAATGGACAATTACAAATACATGCGCGCGCTACTCAGCTTCGTTTAACAGAAATTTCTGTGATGAATACTTATTGACTTCTGCGTACATGTGATCCTTGTATATGTCTTGTTTTTGAAGAAGAAGCACATGTTTGTCGACGTCTCTAGCCTTATATAGTAGTGCTCTAACGTTATCAATGTAAAAGAAACCACTTGCACTTGATTCATGCTTCGATATAGTTTTAGTATGTTTAGTATGTTTCACTGTCCAAAATGATGAATTTTTCAGTGCAACATGATTTAAGTCGAAGTAAACACCCAATTTTTGCCACTAATTACATTACATATTTTGATGATTACTAATATTCATGTCGAAAGCTATCGTTTTCTTTCAAATTTAGATGTGCTGTAACCAAAATGATAGAATCACCAAAAATGATCTTTTGCTTGACAAACAGGGTTTGTGGCACTTTATTCTTGAAATTTTGAGTCGTTTGAACACTTAAATTTGGAATACGGCCCGACTTTTTGCTTTAAGTAGGAGTACCGTTAATTATTGTATATATACATTTTGGTATTTATTGTTGTAGTGTGTAATAAACGCCTGAATTTAGTCCAAAAACTTGAGATATATGTATATAGTATATACATATGTTTTTTTGAAGAATACGGTTCGAAAACTAAAAAAAATAACATGTTGGTTGTCTTTCGAGTAAATATGTTTTCACACTTATGAAACCCTGACTATTATGAATCTTCATTTACCAAAAATGTTAAATAAAAAAAAGCAATTAATTGTGTTTTTTATAAAAATTATCGTTACAGATGGAACGAAGAATGGAATCGAGAAGAATATACTAGATGGAAAATAAAACCGAATTGTAGACCAAATACGCAACAAGGCACGAAATTCGCAACAAGGCAATTGGACGAATATAATGAAATTATTGATTGACCCCAAATATGTATGCGATAAATCTTGTGATAAGACTGAGGTGCACGCAAAATATCGTAGTAGTTTAAATGTATACGCTAATACGTAATCGAGGCGAAAACACAAAATCGTGAACAATATTTAAAATTGAGAGAGAGAAACGGTAACGAACATGAAGGTCGACAAAGCTGTCTGTACAACGGATACAATGACAGATGTTGAAAAAGCAATAAGTTATGAAAATTTACTATCGTCATTAGTACAGAAAAAAATTCTGGCCATTAAACGTGAATGCGAAGCGAAAAAAGTGGCAAAACGACGACGTAAACAGCAAAATTGTCTTGGCTCTTTAATATTTGGCAGTCGTCACAATCGATCGAATAGATGTGATGACAGCAGTTCAAAAGAGGCAGCGATCGATATAGATCCTCCATCAATTAGCCAACAAGAAAGTAAAATTGTAATCGATTCCAAAAAAATTATGAAAAAAATTAATGACAATCAAGAACCGGTTAATTCCATCACCAACATTCATGTGAACGAAATTCCATTGATGAAAACGGAAAATATATTAACCGAATGTCACATTGATGTGTTAAATGAACGTGGTTCGTGTAACAATGACAATAATACAACGCAACGGCATGACCCATTGCATTGTGATTTCCATTGCCACGCGAAATATAGTCGTCGATGCATGGATAGTGGTGACGATCAAAATGCACACAGTACGCATTCGAAAATCAGTGATAATAGCGTCATAGAAGTGGATATTGAATCGACAAGTGTAGCAGCAACGAATAGCAAATGTCCCAGCATTGTCAGCCAAATCGAAGGAAACGATGAAATGAATGCGATGCAAAAATTGCGATCGCGAAAAAATAGCTGCGATTCAATTAGCGTGCCTAGTTCATTGAAACATACCACATTGAGTGAACCAGCTGATGAGATGGCTTTGTTGGATCACAAACAAAGATATCAAATACATTTGCTCGAGGCAAAATCGATAAGCGCCCAATGTAGCCCAATACTGGCACAACGTCAAACTTTCAATGGTACTACACTTTTTCTTCTTCTCTTTTTTTCATCATTGTTGCCAATCAACGCCTTTCCCAATTTTTTTTTTCATTTCGATTTTAAAGTTTCAATCCCAGCCATTTTAGCTAAATCGACCACCGTTTGAAATCAGTCTTATCCTATTCAATTTAATAGCATATAACAATAAAAGATTGTATTGTTCGTTGTGCAAACGAGAGTTGGATGCGCACAAATAGTTAAATAGTTTCAATGTGATTCTCTGGTGTATGAGAACAGATGAATTTAAAAAAAAAATAGATGGAAATCTGTGTCATGGCAGTTTTTGTTCATCTATCATTTTTATTGTTGTTGTCATCGTTCAAAGAATTTAATTAATGCTTATCGTTGATATAAACACTTTTGGAAATGCACAAAAAAAAAAATAATTGAAGGTGTTTCGAATCTATCAGAGATATTTAGATACAATGACAGGATGTGAAGACTTCAAGTCTCATTGAGCCGACGGTGGCGCCACCAATTTCAAAGGGGACGTCAATGTAATTTAACAACTCAAATCGAAACTAAACAGCGCGCCAATTTTGAAATTTGCTGTCATTTCCTCCCATTGTTTAGATATTTTAAAACAGAAAACGAAATAAATGTCATCGACCAGTTTTAGTATCGAATTTCATTTCATTTCCGTAACAAATTAGAACAAATGAACAACGTTTTAAGTGTTCTGTGCATCTTTCATGGTATTCCATCTAAAATGACAAGATCACGTTGATTGAAGTACATTCTTCTATGTATGTCATTTGAGTTTGTCATTAACGTAAATGAATACAATCGTCAACGATAGATACACGGCACGATAAAAACAACAAAATATACAGCATCTTTTAACCCAATTCTCATCGCTTTTTAGCAAAATTTGTGCAAAGTGGTATGAAATTCTTAATATTTCGACAAACATAGCGGAAGGTAAAGTTTCCGTGTTATGCCGCGGTGTGCAACCTCATACATATTTTTCGGGTAAAAACGAAATAATTGGGCTTTGCTCAACTTTTCAAATCTTTCGATGTGCTAGGGTCAACCCATCTCCCCCTATGATACATGTCATTTGTCCCGTCCCCTGCAGAAGTTTGCCTGCCCTCCTATGGATATATTTTTAAAATAATTTCATCAGCCAGGATACTTTCTGTCCGAGAGGACCGAAGCATTACCCCTCACAACTGAAGAACTCTTCTTTCATTTCCCTCCATAATTTCAATTTTGTTCAGAGTAAACATTGCAATCCTTTTTCTACTTTCATTCGACCCAATATGGGTTAAAGTATTTTTGTTTAATTGAATGATATAACATTTTCAGTGTCAGCGTCTGGCAGAGTGATAAAATCACCGCTTACACAAAAAATGATTTTTGACACATCCGATGACAATGTGACGGCTGCAAATGTACCAACATCGAACCGAAGCGGAACATCAAATGAAAATAATCAATGCAAGGAAAATATCGATGAGACTGATGAATGTTGCTCGAGTCAAGCAAAATCGACGATGATGACGACGACGACGACAAAACGAAATAGCAAACCATTTTTTAAGAAAAAAGATAAAGTATCTAATGCGAATAATGAAGTGCACGGTTTTATATCTAGTTTTAATCAATTAACGTCGAAAAATTTACCTGTGATTACATCGGCCACAAAAACAATGGCAAAACACGTAACTAGCAACAAATGCGAACGAGGCAATCATTGTACGGTTGATGACACCAACGATATTTCGGTTGTTTCAAATAAAAAAGCCACTCAGGACGATAATCATAGTAAATACAGTGAGTTAAACTAACGTTAGAAATGAGAATCAACGTTGAGACTCATATTTGTTTGTATTTTTTTTTTGCTTGACGACAGAACGAACACATAGATACTCTGAACCAATGTTAGTTTATCCATCTTCAAATCGTCTTCAGCAATGTATATTAAGTATGCCAACATCTCAACCCATGTAAGAACATTCTAAAGCTTTTGTTATGCACCTTTTTTTTATTCCATAAAATTAACATTTTATCTCTGCTCATTTTTAGCCAATTGCGTTATAATGATGAATTAATGTATGATGTTTCACTTAAAATGGAAACTGATAGGAGTACAGATTTTACAGGCGATCGACGACGACGACATCGGAAGTAAGTTGAATTGCAACAATGTCTGTAAAATGTTCATTTTTCTTCTATCTACAATTGTCAACTAATTAATTGCAGACACCGACATCGTCATCATCATCATCACCATAATAATGGACGAAAAAATCGACACAAACGAAAAATCTTACTGCACGACTTGGATGAACAGACTGTGAAGGTATTGTAATAAACCACTCAGAAATTCTACTTCCGATAACGTACATATAGTAATTTATACTAGATACACTGAACATGCTTTTTCCCACTAAATTCTTCTCTGTAATCGATTTTTATCTGAGTGAGTGGAGTCAAAAATATCAAGTTTTGTAGATTTGCCCGTGCTAGAACCTTTGAAATCAACAAAAAAAAAACACATCAAAAACTAATACTATGTTTTAACTTTGCATGATACAAAAAGAATCATATATGAAAAACTTTTACTTGCATCAAAATTCAATGCAGAAAAAACTTCCCGAGACGAATCCGATTTATTTTCTTTTGATTCGTGGCCCAATGATGACAAAGTTTATCGTACTTTGTGGTTTCTTATTTCGATAGTTTTTCAAAGTTGCCAATATTTATGAAGCAAAGAGAAAACATGTGTTCAAAATGACCTTTCAATGTTAAGACGGCTAAAATGCTGTGGTTACATTTTTTTCTTGTTCCAAAATGAAAAAAAGATAGAAAAGACTGATCAGACATTACAGAAGAATAATTTCTTCTAAGCTTAGAAGAATAATTTTGAAATTCAATCCGACTCGCAAAAAATGTATAAATTGAATCGTTTTTATTTTGAAGTAAATCACTTATATTAAAATTTACGATTTGTCATTGTATGAAGGTTATCGACCCAGAAGATATGTCGCAACGGGCCAGGTTGACAATCATTTTCACAGCATGTAAGTTGTTGCTAGTAAATAATAAATTAATAATATTGAATTAATATGGTTGATTTTCTTCAATTTTTAAACATTTATTGATCATTTGACGACCCGCTAGGCCTGCTGCTGTTAATGTGTTTACTCTTGGTAATTCAAATATTCAAAATTTAAATGTTTGACATTATTGTTTTATAATTTTATTTTGTTTTTGTTGAAAAAAGGTGGGAGTTACATTGAGAATGGCACCATTAATAGACGATATGGGTAAGTGATTATTGTTTATTGTCAAATATCTAATGTCAACATATTGCTACTTATTACATATTATAACTAACATCAAAAGGGGCAAAAATAACATCAAAAAGCATATTGTAAAGTAGTTGGAATTTAGATGAAAAAACAGCAATCATGAAAAATGTAACAAAATGTATTGTTGCATTTCATGTAAACGGAACATATGTGTATCGAATGGTAGAATATCAAAGTGCTAGTCCACAGCCATATCGTAATGATTTAAAGTGATATATTTTTACTATCGATTATCAAGGTGGACTGATTTTATTTAACACAGCGATTCAAATATACAATTTATTGGTAGCATTGCTTTATTTATTTAGTTGAAATTACTCATTTTAATGGATTTAATCTGTCCCGAATACCAATTATTTTTTAAGTGAATACAGTACCCCATTCTTCTAGTGAGATGCGAATAGTCTCCCTTGGTCATAAAATTCGAAAATTTTGTTTCTTTGGAACCATGGTAGTAGCTTTTCATCAACAGTCGAGAGTAATATACTTTCGGTTATGTTGAAAAAGCTCATTCTGTCGTTGGTCCAGACGCAACAAGTTGGCGGAACTAACATCTATGTGCCATGCGCACATCCCAAAAGCTGCCTCTGAAATTACTATATTTTCTATAAACGTAAGCTTTTAAGTTAGCAAAACGAAAGTTCTTCAATTTTGAAATGCCAACAGATGGATAAAAGATGCATCGAACTTTATGCAAAAAGCTTTTTCGAAGACATTAGTAAAGATATTGGTGCCTTGAAGTAAAAATACAACAGATGTCACGCCACATATTCAATTGACAATAATAAATATTCGAATATTAAAAGAATGTATAACTTTTGTTTTTGTTCTTCGAAAAATTGTCTTCAAGCCAAAAAAAATTATCGAAATTGATTCGGCATACAATAAAAACCAAAAGTATATTTCCTTTATGCATTTTGTGGATGCGAGATTGTTTTTGAAATGATTTCAATACCTTGGAAGAGAAAATATTTCTGTATAGTATAGTAACGATACCCGATGGGTGATAACACTGATTTCGATGCTTGACCCACATTTAACTGGAATTGTTCACCACACTAACTGATGTCTGTGTCGTCTGTCCTGTTATTTGATTTCGCATCTGAGTGTTCATTTTGTAAATATACAGTCCGAAAATGTGATGAGAATTTACTTACTCATTTTGTGACCAACGAACAAAAAAAACACATTGCAACTGGAAAAATGGGACAGTGAATCTACCATGCGGAATAAAACGGGCAAATGAAATAAGATTGACGAAAAAAAATAATAAGCATATTATATATGAGAAAATGAGCGAGAAATGTTAAAAACAATTCAATGCTTTGATGATGCTACGCGCACAGAAGACAAAAATCAGCTAAATAATTTCCGTCGTCTTCAGAAGGATTTTTAATATAGCACGTTTTTGTTTGCGTCACAATGTTGTTTTGTACGCGACCATTGCAATGGACAACGTTGAACGAGAAATTTTACTTACACAGGAGAGAAAACTGAAATGAACAAAATAATAATAACAGAAATTTGAACAGCCATTGAGGAGAATCAAGTAACAAAAAAAGAATTGGAAACTGAACGAGATTGCACAAGAACAAAAACTATGTTAAAACTAAATTTTCATAAAGTATTTTTTTTTAGCGTTCGTTTTCGTTTCGCTTGGTCTGGCTTTATCGCATATGTATTTAAAATATGAATAACTTCTAGCCAAATTGATTCTCATTCAACTCCTCATTTTCTCCCAACTGAAAAATACATTTCAATAAAAAAAATCAATCGAAGATATTTGCTGCAAAATTCTCATACTCTAAAAAATGGAGTCTGCACCATCATTTTGTATATATAGATTTTTGTGTATTCATAGCATAATTTTAATAGTTCGGCAATCATTTGTTCTTTATTTCGCTGAGAGTGGCCAATAATAACACTGCTGATAAGCAAATTGTTATTAAGCTTATCTTTTTCCATCCAGCGAACGAAAAAGTCCTCTTGCAACCATATTTCTGCTCCTTATAACGCGATGCGAACGTACAATAGTCAACACTTGCTACATTTACAAGTATTTTTTTTACTGGAATATTGTTTGTTATAAAAATTGCTCAATTTTCCAATTTCCAACGTTCGCGGTAAAAAAAAATACGCAAAATCTGACTGTAAATTTTATTGGGTATATGTAGCATGCTTTGTCATTGATTTTTATATTTTCATCAGATCTAGATTTTCAAGTCGAATATATTGTTGGTACCGACCAAAAAACAAACTCTTATGTTTTAACAATGGCAAATCGTTTATTGCACCACTATTTTACGATATCTTTTATTGTTGCGGCGAAGCTATAACCAAATGATACCTTCAAGGTTAAAAGTTTTCGAGTGCATTAAGATTTACAACGTTATTGAATGCACCTGGGAAGCTTTTATCACTTGCATTGAATTTGACCACACTTATTCATAAATATGCACAGTATTCGTTTTTCGAACTATTCGGCAAGTAAAGTTCTTTTGATTCGCGTAGATAAAAATCAAAAATTTCAAACAAAACTCGAACACTTTTCAGGTTTATGCTAGCAAGCGGTGACCGAAAATAAGTAGATGTGAGCGATTTGGCATAAAAGGATAAACATCAACTTGGGAATAGTGAACATTTACATTTACAGACACTATCCAAAACTTCAAAAAACCAAAAACTCGAATATCTTTGAATATGTTTGATGGAATGATTTTACCAAGAATACTAATAATTTCATTTCGATACTTCAAATTGAACATGGTCTTATTACCATGTTTTGTTCACTTAAATTGAATTCGAAAAACTTTAAGCATAAAATAATCTAACTCATCAACGAGTCATGAATTATTTCACTATTTTCAAAGTGGCACAACGGCATATTGAGATTCGATGCCGAAAGCGTGAATTGACTTTAATAATTTTCACTAAAAGTCAAAGTATTAACACTTACGAACGGATGTACAATTTAAGTAGTTGCCAAACTTGTTGCAGTTTCTATTTAAATTTATAACATAGTAGACAACCAACAAACTCTGCCACTTGTCAAACCAAACGACGAATATGAACATCATTATTTATAGAGTGTTCTTGATGTTATGTATACATAAGTATCAAGTTTTCATAATTGTTATTGAACGTGGACAAACTGAAAATAGTTGGAAACAACAGGGACAACAAAACAATAAACTGACATGAAATGTGAGTGTCACCAATCCAGGCTATTTTGAATGGAAAACATTCATGGGGTAACCTGGTCTATAAATATATATTATTCAAAGAAAATTCCCTTTGATTATTGAAGGCATCTTTCGGCAGTTTCACCTGGTACACATCCACGTATTAAAGCTAATTGGTTTCAGAACCAAACTTGGTCCAAGAGGTCCGATTATCCTTTTTTTGGATATCGCATTTTATAATGATTTTTGGAGGAGAAAAAAGAATAGAATGTTGGTTGTTGGAACTGGTAGCTTCATTTGCTCTTCAAGTTTATAGTGGCTTCATTCTACAACTTACGAACAATTTAAAAAATCTTATTTTAAAGTCTAATCCAAATGTTGTTTACTTTTATACAATGGTACGAAAATTGAATGAAAATGGTATTTTCCGGATTATTTTTCTCATGCAAAAAAAATGTCTGTTAAAAGATTTGATGTGATATCCAAATAAAACTTTCAGTTAAAAGTGAGCTACATTTTTTTTATTATGAACATTACATTCCTACGGATTAAATTTCTATAGAGCTTAAACATTTAAAGAGACTTTTTCCATGCTTCTGCATTTGTACATGAATATTGCCATACAAAAATGACTTTGAAGAATTTTATATTAAGTAAAGTCGTGTGCATTTAATTATTGGTCATGAGTAACAGTGATGGAATGAATGGGATATATGAACACATAAAAAACGTGACCAATTTTAAACTGACATTTTAAACTGGCATGTCAATCGTTTATAAAAAAGAACTACAGTTTGAATTCAACATTTCTATGTTAAAAATTCATGATTGATATGTTCCATACTTTGATAATCCATTTTTTTAGAATTCAGTTTAAGAGCTTTAAAATGGATTTGTCCTGACTCTATTGTTCACGTTTAAGCGCATCAGAGGTCTTCGTGAAAAAAAAAATGGATTTAGACAACACACTCAATCACAGTTTTTATATAATTTATTAACAAATTTGATTCAACAATTTTGATAATCCCCATGGTATGCTTTAAATAATGATGACAATGCCATCATCGTTTCATGTAAATATGCGTTTTTTATTATTGTTGTTGTAGCTATGTTGCTGCACATCATCTTTAGTGGGCCCCTCAGTGGATTCGTCATTTATATCAGATGCAGTGAAGTATATATGTTTTGTCTATAGTCAGAAGTGTTTCCGTTTTCGATTGGCATGTTGAAGTGCAACCGCTATCAAACCAAAAACAATAGACAATGACACTTAGATGTGTATTTAGACATTTATATTGATTCTTGATGGCATTGTGTGATCGGGTATGATGATATGGCACATTTGCTTTCTTAATTCAAATGGATTGTCAATTGTATATACCATTGAGCACATTGTGGTGGGTACCGATGGTAATGGCTTAAGCCATTTAAAACTTTGTTCTTTTCTTCTGACTTTTGTATGTAATGTACTTCGGTTACTCTATTTTCGTACAAATATGAATTGACGATGTCTAAATCAGTTTGTACACAATTCTCTCAAACATTTTGTAACGTTGTATGGCAGCCGACAACAACGATACAGACGAATAATAAAAGATTGAAAGAAAGTGAATGCAACTACATGACGAGAAATGTAAAGTCAATAGCATCATCAAACAAAAGAAAAAAACCATTCCATACACCAACGACAACCATTCTGCAGAAAGAGACACAGAGTTTGGTTATAGAAAACTTTTCTATAGATTATGGCATTGCATAAAAATAAACTTTAAT